TACATCTTTGTACGATTATTAGATGCCAAGTTATTTAATATATTCTTTATATAACTGTGATTATAAACGGTTCTTTTTAATATAAGATTTTTGAGGATAGGTGTGATAGTGACTATAGATAGATTGTGACTATATAGGATAGATTTTAATAATAAAGTGTTTTGAACATTCAACTGGTATGACTATATAGTAGAATGTGACTATAACGGGAGTGACTATAGAGGGAGTTGACTGTATAAATATTTTTTTTAGTATTGTAATTTTTAAATATTTTAAAATAAAGTTTAACAGTAATTAAAATTGAAAAAAAAATATTTTTTTTTTATTTATAGATGATGAATTGGCAAAGTATATTCTACAATAAAATAAAAATATATATTTTTGTATTTTTGTTATATAAGAAATATAAATTTTATAATATTTTAAAATAATGTAAAATTTCAAATATTAAGCTAAAAATAAAATGTAAAATTTCAAATATTCAAGCTAAAAATAAAATGTAAAATTTTTATATCATAAAACTATTTTATATTAACTAAATATTTAGTATTTTATATATAAATTAATAAATTTTTCTAACTATTACTGGTAGTGATGAGTGATGACTGAAATTATAATGATCAACTAGTATTAAAAAAATATAGTGCTGGTAAAAATTGATAATTTTGGCCAATAGTAATGATAATCCCCAGTAATTTGAAGTAAAAATCTTTTACATATATAAGAATTTTTAAAATTCTTTATTTAATTTATTGAAAATTTTAATACTTGTTTTTTATTTTTTATTTTTATATGTATGGCTTATAATTATTAAAAAAAATTCTTTCTTAATTATATCATATAGTATTTGTTTTAAAAGATATTAGAAATTATATAAAAAGTTAACTGTAACATTTTTTCCTTTTTTTAAGTCTTCTAAATCTTTATAGAATTTTTCTTTAACTTTTTATATCATTGAAATAAATAAAGTCATAATTAATTTATTAATAATTTTAAACTATTAATAAGTTTATATATATAATTGTCTTTTTTTAACTGTATAGCTGAAATTTTTGTTGTAATTACCATGGAATTTATATTTGTCAAGATGACAAAATTATGAAAAAAAAAAAACAATAAATTAACTATCATAATAAAAAAAATTCTCTGCCAAAAAAAAAAAAAAAATTTTTATTAAGAAAGCAAATCAAAAAAAAGCTACCATTAAGAAACTCAAACCTCTATTAACTTGTAGATTGAGTTACACGATTTTGAAAAAAAAATTCCCACAGTTTAATGATCACATGCAGAGATTTTAATTACGTTCCTTTATATGGGTTAGTTAGTGTTAGTTAGGGCATGTGACAAATCAGTAGTTCATATAAATACCAATATTTTCATTTACCCTTTTTTATCATTTTTCATTTTTCAAGTTCGTCTCTCTGAAAATATAATAAGTAATGAAAATAATGAAAAATATGGGCAAAGGATATCTTTCATCAACATTTGCTGCAATAAAAAATGTGGTGGTAGTTTTGAATTTTTTATCACTGGTATGAAAATTAATATTTGTGAGAAAAAAATGTTTCTATTTAATTTAAAAAGATCATTATTAACAAATTCCTTTCAATGATTTTTAAATAAAAAGCTTTCAGGGTTTATTCTAATTGTCGTAGGTACGCTATCGTGAAAAAAAAGTATACCGTAATACTGTGTCTATGATTTGAACTTTTTATTAATCGACATTATAAAATAGGGTATTACCTTACCAGTACAGAAGCAGAAGTGTCTCTTGTAACTTCATCAGCTATTAAATATCGTTTTCCGCATGTTCTTATTTCTTTGGGTGGATTAATTTCTCTTGTCAGTTTTTTAGGTAAGAAATGGTGTTTTCGTAGATTAGATTGATCATATGTTTTAACGGATTTTTACTTCTAGGATGTTATGGTGCAGCGAACCAAAAAATTACTTTCTTGAAGGTGTATGTAATTTCATTATTCATATGTATAATCATTCAAATAAGTAAGTATTAATTTGTTAATATATTTGTCATTTTTTTACGAGTACATAATTTAGTCATTGTTATTTTATATTATTCAGTTATTGGTAGTGTTGCTTTCGCCTACCATCAGGATGTATGTTAGAAGCTTTCAAATCAAAATCGTTAAATATTATTTCAAAAACCTAATTATTACCAATCATTTTTTAAGGTTGATTCGATCCTTGATAGATCATGGTCAAAGGCTTTCCGTGATGATAAACAATTAATAGCTGATGTAGAACAATATTTCCGTTGTTGTGGATTTAATAGTCTTTCAGATCGCGCAGTTCCTCCATGTAGATATTATACTCCATGTTATGCGTCAATGAAAGATTCTTTAACATATAGTTTACAAACAATCGGAATTGTAGGTGTTGTGTTAGGGATATTAGAGGTATTTAATTCTTTATTTGACTATTTGATATAAAAATTTATTATTTATTAATAATATTCACTTCCTGTACAAATAGCTTATTTGTCTGCTTTTAGCTGCTGTATTAATCATCCATATTATTCGTATTCATCGCGAAGAACCTAATGAAAGGCAAGCTTTGTTGGCAGAGACACGAAGACTTGATGATGCTATTCGTCAAACCTACGAACGTCGATGTAGATTACATTCTTCCTAATTCATAATTATTTTAGAGATTTTTTTAAAGCATTATTTATTCCAGCTGGTAAGATTATTAGATCTTTCTTTGTCTGTTATTATTATTCTTTCTTTAATAGAATTGTAATTTATCTGTATTTATAAGCTAAAAAAACCGAATTTAATAAAACGAAACTTTTACTATAGTATTATTATGGGTTAACTTTATTAAATTAAATATCATTAATTAATATTATAATATTCTACACTTTTTCAAAAAGACTGAATCTCTATAATACTATATTTTGGGATACCAATTTGATCTAGAATTTATTGTTCCATTATAAACTATTTCACCAGCAGATTGTTTATTTAATTTAGTAGCATCTATAAATTCAAAATCCATTGTTTCTTCTTTAATATTAGCATGTACAAAGCCAAATGTCCCTCTTGGCATCCCCCAATCTTTCCCTTCACATCCATAACCAGTTTTACATCCAGCTCCAGAAATAAAAAAAGCCACAGGTGAAAATTTAGTTGGTGCTTTATATTCTAATACATGATTATGTCCAGCAAAATATGCGCTCACACGATATCTCTCCAATAGTTCGAGAAGTCTTGGCAAATTACTCACTTGTGAACATATTCCAATTAATGGATGATGCCCTTTATAGGAATAAAATTAGTAAATATATGTATACATACTAATAATTTCTACGCATTCATTTACTAACCTATAACAAAAATGTAATCTGCATCTTGGTTTTCTATTAATCTTTGCTCTATCCATTTTAATTTATCCTCTATTGCTTGTTGAGTATGTAACCCAAAATTTAAAAGATTAGTTCTTAATCCTTCCATTTTTGCTTCGATTGTATCAACATTATAATAAAAAACATTAGTATCAATGTGAACCCAAACTGCTTTTGTCTTCATTTCTTTGCCAAATAAAGATGAACGAACATAAAATAAAGAAGGAAAGAAAAATCGGGAATTTATAGTTAAACTATATTCAATTTGAGCAGTAACATTTGTATACCTATAATTAAATAAAAATTAATACTTTTATTGAACTAAAGCAACCAAATTTACTAACTAAACAACCAATTTTACTAACCAATCATGATTACCAGCTACTGTATACCAGGGGAGTTTTCTTAATTTTGTGCTATTATACACATTTAACCAGATCTCTTCCCATTTTGAATCATTAACACTGAGTATTCCTTGATGATCTTTTGTAGACCTCTTGTAAAAATTATCTATTAAAAAAAAAGAAGTCAAATATCATTTAGTTTACTTTTAAAGTATTTAAATTTGATCAATTTTTTTACTGTTTTGAAATCATACTTGTACGGACCACCAACGTTCACGATAAATTTACTATCATGTTGATTAGCAATAAATTCCATTGCTTTAGAAACGTTAGCTTGGGAACCATGCTTAAAATCTCTGCCTTTACCAGCATTTCCCCAATCTCCTATAACCAAAAAGTCTAATGCTTTTGCATCAGGATATGTCTCTTCGTATATTTTTGTTGAAGTTTCGAAAATTGAAGGCAATAAGCCACCAAATGATAGTGTTATATATAATGAAGATATAAAAAGCAAGAGGGATACTATATAAAAACAACGAGGTGTTGGTCCTTTTGAAGTACGAAACATTTTTATTTTAAATATTAAACTCCAGATAAAATTATGGCTATACTAATATTATATAGTAATTAACAGTTACACTAATTTGATGTTTCCTATTTTTGGAGACTGAAACTTATTAGCCAATTTATGCGCCACATTAGCCATTAGCCGTTTCTTATATTAGTATGCGTCAAAAATAAAGTTTTACTAAATTTAAAATCAAGTATTTTATATGATCTTCATTTTTAAGCCTTACTAACAAAATTCAATACGATCGACGGTTTAACAGGTCTTTTAACAGCACAATCAAAAAAATTTTCATTGTTTATATTGTTTATTTTAAAAGAGGTGATGATTACGTTAACTGTGATAAAGTGACAACTTTCGTTAAATATGCGTCTTTCTCACGTGTCCACATACACATGTAATGTAATTGATCGAATTATGGCATATTTCACTTTACTATATATGTAAATTCAAAGATATTTGATAATTTTATTCAGTCGCATAATAAAAAAAGTTAATATTTTATTTGCAAAATCAATGTATGATTTACGTGTCAAAATGTCATTATGTAATTGATTCCACCGCGTTAAGTATACTGAGAACTCCATATACAAGAGAAAACTTGCAATTTTCATTTCGCAAGAAAAAAAAAAGAGAATCCCCAGCTCACAAAATAAAGATTAAAGATTGAACCCAGAAAAATTTGTTTAATCACACAAATAAATACCATATCACATAAATTTACTGTATTTATATTTACAAAAAAATTGTTTTCAGTTGATACACAGAAAAAAACATATTTCAAAAATGAGGAATAAAAGAAAGAGAGAGAGAAAAAAAAAATAAAGACAAAAAGGGGGATGTCGGTGGAATGGGGATTTGAAAAATTTGAACAAAAAAAGTACAAAAAGAATTAACCCACCAAAGATATGTACGAAGAAAAAGATTGAGACAAAAAAAAAGAAAAAAACAAATATGTACTGAAAAGAAACTAATAAAAAAAAATGAAATAAGATGAAATAAAGTAAAAGTGGATGCTCAATGGATGCCGTTCATGTAAAATTTACAGAGAAACATGAATGATCATCCGAGCAAGTTAAAAAAAGTCTTGAATTTAGTTCATATCGTATATAACTAGAGTTTCCTAAAGTCCATAAATTTCTTTCTATCAAGCGAAATTGTTCTGGATTTTCGCCCATAAAAAAAAAAAAATCTTACAGAGGCCATTTGCGAGTATAGATTATGGCTATTTACAAAAAGAGGCAAAACCTCCAAAAGGGTGATAAGAAGATTTACAAGAAAATGAAAGGGAAATCATACTCATAACACATAAATAGTATATATATATAATACAAAGTTATATATATAGTAAGTTTCCGTATAAAATACGGAAATTTTATATATATACTGCACTCCTCAAAAAATGAAGAGATTGAATATTAAAAAAAAAAATAAAATAAAATAAAAAAATAAAATAAAATAAAATTAAAAATCTTATAAAATGAATTAAGGTATGAAATGAGAAGCAAACAGGAAGTAACGAGAAATTATGGCTCGTGACTATTTTTCAATTGCTTACCCAAATTACCTTTTATTTTAAAATTTAATCTCGCTTGGCCTTTTTTCATATAAAATAAAGATTAATAAAAAAAAAAAATTATCCAACCACTTGATCATTCGAGTTACCATACAAATGCATGAAACTCATTTCATCGGTCATAGCCATGGTCATACTGGAATTAACAGAATTAGCATCAATTTCGGAAGGGGTTAAAGGACTCCAATGAGCAACACCAATAGCACCACCATCGTTGACTTTTAAATCAGTAGTATCGACGATAGGTAATTTGGCGGCCTTGAAATCCATACCATAATTCCACATTTGACGCTCTTTCAAAGTGGGCCAAACGGTTGAATCTAAACTATGTCCTCTAAGCAATTCTGGCGCAGAATGAACATTGGTATCATGTGGTTGATTATTTCCTAACATCGAATGTAAATTGAATGAAAAAGTAGTTTGGTTGGATGTCATATTTGACATGGTTGTTCCTAATGTATGTCCATTTCCAGAATGAAAATCCGAAACATTAGACATATTATATCTATTAATAGGTTCAGAAAACCTGCGCTTTGCCTACAAAAAAAAGTAAAAATTTTAATTTATAAAATTCTAATATTTTCCTTCTAAAATACTTTAATTTAAATAAATAATTACTTGAGTAGGAACGGCTAAGAATTGATGCATATTCGCATCATTATAAAGTGTTTCATCTTCAATGATTGTAGAAAGAGATCGCTTCTCTTCAGGTCCAAGCTTCATATTTAGGATCGAAGCCATCAATTCAGGACAAGAATTACGACGTGCATGAGCAAAGGCAGTCGGATTCAGAGGCTCGTTAGTATCAATAGCCTCTTTATCGCTAATTACGGAACTAACTGTAGGACTATAAGTGTACTCGGTGAAATAATCCGAGATAGTTACGGCAGATTGTGGAGTAGAAAGAGGGATAAGACTATCCATGTGATCATAAACATACTCGGATGCCACGGTAGAAGCAGAAGACACATTCGATTGCATCCATTCACCATCGTCTTGAGAACTTGCAGATTTTTGAAGAAGTTGATGTTGTTGAACCATGTGCTCGTATTCTTCTTGAGTTTCCCAGGTAGTCTTAAGAGGGTCAATATTTGGTTTCGGGCGAGATCTTTTTGGAGTTTGATCATTCTCAGCTTGAACAAGAATTTCATTAACAGATTTCTGTTCTTCAGAATAGAAACTTTCATTTTGGTTCGTATCAAATGCACAAAAAGCTTCGCTGCTTTGAGGGCTATTAGGAGCACTTTCTGCCACAACTGGGTCATTAATATTGTCCATTGATGGATCAGTAGCTTGAGCAGCATGGTCAGTCGAGGCGGTTGCTGTTGAATCTGCGTTAGAAAAAAAAGTTTCTAAAGAGTCGGTAGGACTAGATACAGTTAATCCTTCAGTATTACTTTCGGGTGAAGAATTGTCTTCAACAGTTTTTTGTTTCTTTGCTTTTGCACGTCTGTTTTGAAACCAGACCTGCACACCACGAGGGGTCATATTTAACTTAAGAGCCAGCGCTTGACGAACAGCAGCATGGGGTTTTGGATTTTCGTTGAAGGCCTTTTCGAGAACTTTTAACTGTTGACGGGAAGTACGACGTCTATGTTTCACTTCAAAAGGATTATAAAAAGTGGGTTTGAATTCTCCATGGGGTGATTGATGAAAAGCATCAAACATTTGCGGAGCTGGATGAGCTTGTTGTTGCTGAGGACGTTCTTGCGTTGCTGCCGCTGCTCCTATCGCCTCAGATAAATTATTCTCGTTATAGTTCATTTTTAAACTGTTAAGTGTATAAAGTTTCCAAAATTGCTTTTATTTCTAGATAAGCGACTTGTGCTTTAGTAAGGCCAACTTCAAAACGAAGACGTGTCAATCAAAGGAGACAGGGCTGTGTCCCAATCTATCGAGTGATGTCAAGCTTATAGTCGCATAAGAACAGTAAAAAAGCGATCGAAAACGAACGCAGAAAAAAAAAGGAGTCCGGACAAGCCACACGCAGGGGAGTAAATGATTGGCAGCGGTGCAGAGAAAAAAGCTAAGGGGCGATTGCACAACCTTCCTTATCTTAACAATAAAATCAGATGACAATTATAATATTAAAAAAAATATGCGGTTGATGGCGCCATTTTGATTTAAATTCGGCCGGGAATCGAATCTACAGTATCGTACATGAAAAGTATGAAGCACCTTTGAGTTGCATTAACTGACTCATCGCAGCTGCATCACAACAAGTTCTGGGGCAGTTATAATTTTTAGATAGTTTTTCTGGGGCATCTACAGGTTTTGTTTGATCAATTGACGTCTAAATTTGTCTTTACTTTCTTGAAGTTCCTCGATAAATCTGTTATAAATCACTCATGCCTTAATGAAAATTCTTTTACTCCTTACGCTAATTTTTGATGCAAAAAGTAATTCACACAAAAATCTGTGTTACTCTAATGATTGAAATAATGCAGTGAGACAATATGAGAAATGTAACTATTTTTTGAATTTAGTTTTCCGGTTTTGTGATATTTAAGAATAATAATACAACGATTAATATTATAAACAAACTATAACTTGTCAATCTGAATACAAATTGTTCAAGTGATTAATTATAAATAGCATTTAATTGTGATAACCTAAATTATGATCTATAATTTAAATTTTTATATTGTCAATAAATGAATTTCAAATTAAATTTTATCAGATTTTAGATAAATTATCAGTTATAATTAAAACAAAATTTTTAGTAAAACCTGTAGTTAATATTAAAAATTGGCTAAAAATAAGCTATTCCAATTTAATTAATATATTATAACATAATACAAATTTTTAATTTTATAATTTTTTATAATTACTTTTAAAGTAATTAAAAAATTACTAAATTACTAATTAAAAGGAAATTTGCAATTGATTTTTAACTTCTTAAATTTCATAAATTATAATTAAAAGTCTAATTAACTATACTAGCCAATTGTTTCTATCTCTAATTATTTATTTTATACTTGTAATAATTTTAAAAAGGTTTAAAAATACATATATACTATATTTATCTCATTGTATAACAACTAAATTTTAAAGTATAAATTTAAAAATTTAATAAATTCCAAATTTAAATTATTTAAATTTTAATGTAATTAAAGAAATTAATATAAATATGGCTTATTATTGCTATCAAAATATGGTGTGTGGCTACTTGGCTACTTAGTACATATTAATCATACTATATCTAAGATCTAGAATCATAATTTTTGGATCAGCAGTTACTAGCATAATGCAGATGAATCTGGATTGAAAATTTAGTCACGGGATCTGGTTTTTTTTATCAATATAATTTATTTATAGATACTCAAATATGCACATTTGAATGGAAGTTGCATAGTAAATTCTAAATTCTCAAAATTTCGAATCTATCCCAATTTTTACGGATGAGTTGAATAGAGTACCGTATCGGTTATTTATAATATGGTATATTTTAATCGTTACCAACCAAATAAATTATATCCATGGACCAATTTAATTTTTTTTTCTCTTTATTAAGCTTAAAAATAGCGCGTAAAAAATATAAATACCTTTTTTAAATAATCAAATAAATGATAAATATACGACAGCATATAAATAAATCAAGTTAATACATTTGATGTTTCAGGTTTTTGTATTGTCGAAGTCTGGAACGGTAATGCATAAAATTTTTTTAAGATATGTGGGTCCGATTTTCCAACATGCTTTGACTTTCGTGATTTACTGAAACGAGCGTATATATCAGGGTATGCAACTCTACACCTATTTTAAAATTAATCCGATCAATTGTCAACGTCAAAAAGGAACATATAAATACCAAACAAGTTTCTAAATTACCGATCTCTTAAGTCTTGTCCCCTTCGATGCATCAAATTAAACTGCTGGTCACTCGCAATTTTTGTCCAGGAGTTACCGTACTAATATAATATAATGTAAATTAACACGTCAAAAGAAATCATGTTTATAAATAATATATAATATATATATCAAACCTTTTCAACACCTAATTTCAAAGCATTATCTTCTTCGGGCGTAAATTTGTTTTTTGGACGATGGGGCTTCTTTGCGAATGTTACCATATCTGATTTAGATTGGTCATTGTTTGTTATTTTTGTCTTTCTTTTTGCTTTTTTTCCATACAAACTTTCATATTCATTTGGATATAATGTTCGAAATCTATAAAGGTTAAATAAATATTAGTACTATCAATCATGTAGAATCTAAAAAAAAAAAACATCGGTATATTATACATAACCTATCCTTGAGATCAACGGCTGTTCGATCTTCGCGAAAAGGATATTTTGGATCGGTCAAAATTTTCTTCCAATTACCAACACCATGCTACGAAACAAAACATAAATTATTACGAAAAAAAAAACAATTTTAGCTCAAACAACTTGACAACCTCATAAAGACCCTCCACAAGCAAGGAAGTTTCAGCTGCACCCCATTTTTGGCGAGCCTTGCGTCTATCTTGTCTTGTATTATCGGCCTGTTTTCCTGTCGAAATATAAATATTCTGGTCAATTTCTGCCATTTTGACTCGGTTTATTGACTGAAAGAAGTTATATATTTATTAATAAAGCAAAGCACTTCTATTGTATATTTCTATTTTTAGAAGAGTTCATATTAGCGACACGAAAAGTTTAATTTTCCATTGCTTAGTTAACGATTTATAAAATTTTTCACCGAAAAGTTTATTAGATAAACAAACACTTGATTTTTACTTGATTTTCAAGAGAATTTCTAGTGATTTTCCAATTTAGGATGATAATTTATATTCAAATAACTGATTGGATCAGATAATTACCCATTATTTGAAATTCCAAGATGTCAAGAATTATATTTGTTACGGTTGGGTCAACAGGTTTTGACCAAATTATTAGTCTTGTTACATCGACACCATTTCTTCAGTTGTTAATTTCTCAAGGATTTGCAAAATTAGTTGTTCAATATGGAAAAAGTCGGAATTCTTTTATTAAAATGCAAAATAATTTCATAAACGAAATTGAAATTATTGGTTATGATTATAAACCTTCATTACGTGAAGATATGAAAATTGCGGACCTTATTATTAGTCATGCTGGTATTTTATAGTATTTTGTTGTAGTGGTTATTGTATGTTTTATAATAACTTTTTTTTCGGTTTACTGTTGATAAAAAAAGGATCGGGTTCTATCCTAGAAATACTTCGTTTATATAAACCTTTAATTGTAGTAGCGAATGAAAATTTAATGGATAATCACCAAATAGAACTTGCAATCGAATTACAAAGTAAAGGTTATCTTGTATATAGCTCGATAAGGTGTGTTAAAATTTTTAGTTAATGAATTGTCGAAGGATGTTTCTAATTTTTATTTTTTCGTTTATAAACATTAAGCAACTTATTAGAGACTTTGAAGTCTTTTAATTATAAAAATCTGATACCTTTTCCCCAACCAAATGATACACTTTTTGCAAATATCTTAAACGAAGAAATGAATGTAGATATTTGAGTTTTTGATTATTATTTTTTTTAAAAAAAAAATAAAATTGATTTGCGCAAATTAAAATACAATGTCTTTTGACATTATTTTTAAAAAATTTATTAAGTGCTAACTAAGCACAATTATTTAAACTATAATTACTCTACTAGTAAAGTACTTTTGTTGTAATGCAATAAAAAAACATATAGAAGAAAATGCAGAATTTTGTGTATGCTAATTATTTGACGAAAAAGAAACGATCGGTGGCACCCCGAAATAAAAAACGAGTAAAAACGAAAAATATGGATTATTTTAAATGTTCATCTATATAGGGAACAAACAAATGTCGTCAAGATATTTGAAGTCCAATCGTAATCTATATTATAATAGTGTATTCTATATAAAAAGGATTTTTTTTTTTTTCGGTTGGTCTTTTTATGAAAGTTCCCGATTTTTTTTTTTTTAAAAAAAAGAAAAGTATAAATATTAAAAGTTGCAAAAAAATTAAAATAATTCCTATCTCATTTGTCAAAAGAGAAATTTCTGTTGACTTCATATTAACCATAATTTACGCTTATAAAGAGATCCGGACCTCCCTTATTATTAATTAAATTGTCTTTCTATATCATAATTCTTTTAAACATATTTAAAAATTTATATATTATTGATTTTTTTTTCTTGAATATTTTTTTTTTGTTTTTTTGATATTTTTTCTTAATTTTTTTTCTATAGATATATATATATATTTTTTTTTTTTGTGCTGAAAGCCTAAAAAAATAACAGAAATTCATAAATAAAAGAACTAAATATTAATTAATATTAACATATTACACTTACCCTGTCCAGCAAAACTTTCATTCGAATGATAACGTGGTTTTTATGGTAATGCCCATAAATCATTAGGATGGCAACGTTTTACGTGGTATATTAGTCCTCCTTTACTACTATATGTCTTTAAACAGCCTCCAAGGTGACATGCCCAAGGCTTTTCACGTGCTCCATTACCACTCTATTAATTTATAAAAGATTAATCAGAAATAAAAAAAAAATAATTTTTTTTTAAAAAAAAATCGGTTCACAATCCTACCTGCGATGCATGTCCGTGCTCATTATGATATTTTAATCCATTGGCATTTTTGTATGCCTTTGGACATCCAGGTATTGCACATTTATAAGGATAGATATCGCCTTCACTTCCATTTTCCACTTCAGATGTCAAGTCAGTAGGTAAAACATTAACAGAAGATTCAGATATGGGCTCATCAGATGACTAATTATAATTTTAATGGATACAAAGGACACAAAGTAAACTTTTAATAGAAGCTCATTATTGCATATATATATATATATTTTTTTAATGATTAACTCACCTTAGTTACTCGTCTTTTAGCTGATTTATCGACTGAGGATGTAGAAACTGTTCTTTTCTTAGAACCTTTGATATCAAGAGCTGGATCAGTATAGACATCTGACATTGCAACTCCTAATCAGACAATAATGTGATGTAAGTAAAAAAAAAAAAATTAAATGAAATAGAATATTTTACATGTTTATCACAAATCTAACTTACCAGCTTTTGGTTGAATTGGATGATATTTCGCTGAGAATGCTCCGGAGCTAGTCTCCCCGGGAGATACATGTCCTACTATCTGATAACCATCTACTGAGTATTGTGTGGTAGTAACAGAGGGCATATACGCACTATAAGCTTGTGCAGTTGGTCGTGCTGGTGTTAAATTAGATGTAGACGAACGTCTTATATGAGAAACTGGTCTAACATTACTGCCTGAAGATGAAATGTTTCCTTGTCCTAAATTAGACAAATTAATAGATCTATATTGTTCAGTCGATTGTGATGAAGTTATAGTAGAAGTTGATGAACGTCTTGGATGAGAAGCAGAATTGCTATCAATATTCGATGCAATTGAAGTCTGTAAAAATCCTGGTAAAGATCCATATGAGTGACGATGGTTAGACATTGTTGGGGAAACAGATGTAATCAATTTAGATGTAGGAGAATGAGATGCCGCCGATAAATTAATACTAGAAGGACGCCTTTGTTGGGTCGTGACATGAGTATCATTACTTGGTGATGAGATGGGTCTTTGTCTTGAATTATTATTATTAACAGAACCATATGAAGTTTTCTGTTGACTAGAATTAGCATCATTGTTTGATGATATTGGTCCTTGTCCAGAATTTGATGTATTAATTGACCCATAAGATGTATTTTGAAGAGATAATGTAGAAGTCGAGCGTCTCTGTGAAGTATTATCTTGAATGCTAGTATTAATATTTGGTGAATTAGAAATAGTAGTTCTTTGATCATTTGTGACTGGAGAAACGACAACTGAATTATTATCTGAACTAGTAGGAGAAGACACTACAGATTGTAGACAAGCAGATGAATCAACATAATCATTTGGAGTTTGGGGATACGATGAGAGGGATAATAATGGTGAAAATGGATCTTGATTTAATTGAAGAGCTTTTGAGGGAATGTCAAATAAAGAATTATCGTCATCAAGACTTGTTGAGATTGATGATGGGTTTGATGAGAGAGTTTGATCTCCAAATAATGTTGATGAAAAATTAGGATCCCGTAATGGATTCGTAGGATTACTATTATAAATTAATTGATATATGTTCATCCAATTGTCACATGCAAATGAATCTTGATTTTGACCATTAATTTGGTCATATCTATCAAATTGTCCGATCCCACTTTGATTATATCCATTAAGATGTCCAAGTCCATTATTATTTACGTTACCCTTCTGTTTATTATTTGGATAAGAAATAAGTGAATATAAAGGAGTTGACGTAGATGTATTAAAATTAATGCTTTTCTGCTCATGTAACAAACTATTTAGAGGCAAAGTTGTCAAGGAAGTTGAAACATTGGGAACAGATATTGGCGACATCAAGTCCCATCGATCTATAATATACAAAATTTTACATGTAAATAGGGATGAAATTAATGTAAAACCAGAAAGTTTTTCTGGTCATGAATGCTAAAAAATCTTGAGTATCATGTGACTTTCACCTTGTGAGTAAACTGAATTATGTTCGAAAGGAATTATGTTATTAGCAATGTCAACGATCAATCCAGGATGAGAGTTATCAACATGTTGAAGAAGGTCATGCAAGTTTAGATGATCAGTTCCACAGCAATTATAATCTCGAGGATAGCTTGGTTGTAGATTTCTGGCAACTGAATCAGATGTAATTGTAGGAGTATACGTCGAACCTTCATCTGATGAAGCTTGATAGGACTGATCAAAACTAACGTTCATATTATCAGCTGGATTATTAATATAATCCGAAAGATCACTAAAAACGATAATGATATTAAAAAAAAAAAAAGTCAGTTTAAATATAATAAATTAAATATTAATTAAAATGTCTATAATATATCACAATATATAAATAGGTTTATATTCAATAGTTTTTTTAATATTAATGAGGTATAAAGTGAATCACTTTAGAGTTAAGATATAATATAATAAAACCAACCGATGGTGAAAAAGGATAAGATAACGATCAAAAGTTCAAAACCAATAAAATATTATAAGAATTAAATACTTTGATATCCTTTTTTTTTTTTATTGTATGTGAGCTATGAGAAAAAATATATATATAAATAAAATAAGATCCGATGGAATACTTACTCTAATGTGTTAGCAGTTGATGTATTATATGAAGAAGAACTACTAGAGCTGCGTCCGTAACCAGTCGAACCGGAATTAGGGATTTGGATTGGTGACGATAAGGAAGAAGAGTTAATCAAGTTGGTAGAGCACTCGGTAGCGTGAGGCATATTGAACGAAAAGTAAAGAATATATTATCCGATCGATAATACAAAAGATCTAATAAAAAGGTAAAATAGTCCTCCTGACAAGGGATATAATAATTTTGTTTTTTTTTTTTATTCGACGGTTTTCTAAACTTTAAAAAAGTTTAGAAGTCTCTGCGAAAATAATAGCAGTTTCTGTGTCTTCTAAGAAATTTAGCGACGAAACTTTTATGGAAAATGAACTGATATCGTACAACGAAGCCCTTTTTATAAATCAACGATGAAGGGCTAATTGATAATTTTGAAATTTTAGAATGAGTAAATCGGTAATGCTAGTAAGAATAAATGAACGGATTGGATTTGTAAATCAGATGATTTAAGATTTTAAGATCGTGAGAAATTGGTCGTGAAGTTAGCAATTAAAAAAAAAAAAAATGAATTTTTTTTGGAGTTTATAACATATATATATGATATATATATATATATATTATTATTTATTTATATATTTATATATATTTATATTTATTATTTATTTATTTTCTTTTTTTTTTTTTTTTTT